ATTTTGCCCAGTAACCTCTGTAGTTGCACCTTGTTAGTGGGTGAAGGTGACTCCATTATTGCCCGAGATTTGTTTTTATCCACTTCTACACCTCTTTGATGCACCAGGAATCCCAAGAAGTTGCCCGCTCTTACTCCAAACGCACACTTCTTTGGATTCATCTTCAATTTGTGGATCCTCATCCTTGCTAATGTTTGTCTGAGATCTTCCAGATGCTGTTCTTCTATCTTGGACTTCACCACTATGTCATCGATGTATACCTCCATGCTCTGGCCAATTAGATCATGAAAGATGGCATTCATTGCCCTCTGGTAAGTTGCACCAGCGTTCTTGAGCCCGAATGGCATAACCAGATATTCATATGCCCCCACATGATCGGGACACCTAAAAGTTGTTTTATGTATATCTTCTGGAGCCATCTTTATCTAATTATACCCGGCATTCCCATCCATAAAAGATAGGATTTTATGCTTTGCTACTGCATCTATGGATAAATCGGCCATTGGCATGGGATACTCATCATTTGGTGTAGCGCCATTAATATTTCTGTAATCCACACAACATCGTACCGCTTTTGTTACAGCTTTTAAAACGGGTACAATGTTGGCCAACCACTCCACATATTTTGCTGGTCTGATAAAGCCAGCTTTCACTAGCCTTTCAATCTCTTCTTTGACCTTTTCTTCTATCTCCTTTAACATCCTCCGTGGTGCTTGCTTGACAGGTTTATATCCCTCCTTGATGGGCATTCTATGTTCCACCAAGGTTGGATCTAACCCTGGCATCTCGGTATAATGCCAAGCAAAACAGTCTTTGAATTCTTGCAAAAGACAAACAATCCTTGCCCGATCATCAACCCCAATAAACCACTGATCTGTATTGGTATCGGATCCTCCTCTGTTCCTAAATTAATAACTTCCAGAGGATCCTGGACTTCTGGTGGTGGCTTATCCGGTTCTGTACACAAAAATTCGACCAGCTCCGGGATCTCGGGCAAGTCGTCTGGCCCGTCTAGATCATATATGCACTCGGCCATTTGAATGGCCCTATCCAGTTCTTCTCTACAAGATTCCTCTTTGCTTTCATGCTGGCTGGTTGAAGTTCCCACTTGCCATTCCTGTTCTTCCCTGTCCAAGAGCTCCCTTTCTTGTCTTCTTCCCTTCCTATATACCAGCAGTCTTTTAATCAGGGATCTGACTGCCATTACCTGATCTCTTTTCTTTTGTTCAGTCATTGATGTGTAGGGGATTTGGGAGGATACAAGGTCTATCTCACTCATCTCTAGTAAGGAGCATTCCTTGTTCCAAAAGCTTTTGGGCCGTCACCCTGGTAGGGCGGCCGTTCTCGTCAGCTCCTGAACACTTCAAGATTCCTACATTGGGGTTGTAGAAACTTGCTTCCGCAACATTGGTTGTGGGGAGAAATGGCCGTGATTCGGCCTCTACCATCTCCCAAACGCCTGGTCCTTCTATGTCCGCTTCATGATAAACAGCCACTTGTTGATGAAGAGTAGAGGGTATGGCCAAACTTTGGTGGATCCAATCTCTTCCGAATAAGGCCCCATAAGTGGAAGTGCAGTCCACCACAAAGAATGACAGCATTATCTTTTTAGATCCCAAATCCACTTCTAGAGGCAATATCCCATGAGTCTTGGTGATAGCGCTTGAGAAGCTAGAGACCGTGAGGTCTGTGGGAATAAGATCCTCCGTGCCTCTTCCCATTTTCTTCATCTGCTTGGTTGGTAACACATTAACAGCTGCTCATCCATCAATTAGAATTCTTTTGAAGGGCACACCTTCTAAGTGAGCTGTAACATATATGGGTTTCAGATGATTGGCCAACAAGCTGTTCGGGCGGCTAAACACCATCTCGTCTGTGTAAATCCTTAGAGAACCACCTTTGGATGCTTCTGAAGATTCAGCCTTGCCCGAGTTTTCTTCTTCAACTACCTCTACATTGACATGTGCCATCATTGGCTCAGTTGTCAAGTAATCACCCTCCATAGTAGCGGGTTGATCAGGTCTGGCACCAAACGTGGCAGACAACACATACGTCATGTTGATATAGAAATTACTAGGCTCGGACGGATTTTCTTTATTGCCCCCAATCTGGTCCATAAATTCATCCAACCAGACCATCGCATCAGCTGGAAGTAATGGTTCTGGTGCCCCCTCCTGTTGCTGTTGATTCATGTCCGCATACAGTGTTTGTTTTGGAACTTCACCAAAAGGATCCACCAATGGTAGAGAAGGTGGTCTCCTTTCAGATGAAATAGTTCCAGCGCAAATAGGCTCTGGCTTCCACCCAGGGGTTGGCACCATGATTAGATCTTCTTGAGCTCTCCTCAAGATCCTATACTTCCCAGGGTGTTGGCTCTGCGACACGTGATCCCCCTCGCATTCTGTCTTGTTGTTGACCTTTTCCACCTCTTTCTTACTTCTCCAACGGAGCTGACTACTTCCCCCAGATGCTGTTTTCTCCGACTTTTGATTTTTGGAGGCTTCGGATGTTGTGGGGGTCTTCATGGAATTCATGTAGGCTTTGTGCTGCCTTTGAACCCTCCTAACCATGGAGGCTCCCATTGGTTTGGTAGGCTGTCCGTTTTTCCCGACTACGTACCATTTTCGCCTGAGGTGGGCAGGATGTTCTTTTCTAACAGGATTGGTCATGCCATCAATCCTCTTGATTTCCCTCCCCATCTGGCCATATTGAGGATGATCTGTACCCCTTCGTATTTTGGCCTCCATGTCTTCTGCTTCTTCAGAAATTTCATGGTTTCGAAATAATTCTGACAAAGCTTTGGGTTGGGAATCACCTCCTAGTCGTTGAAAAACGCTTCGGGAAGTGTCCTTTTTTGTTGCCTGCTTAATCTTTTCGCGGGCTTCTCTTCTGACGTCTTCTTCCTTTCTCCTGATTAGTTCATGGTCAATAAGGTTTCCAACCGGGGGAATTTCGAGCTCACACTCGCATTGGCACTTACTACACATAACCATCCCCTTGATTATGGCTGCTTTTGGATATTCGGGTGTTTTAATCACCCCTCCTGTAGGTTTTTTAGCCAATCTCTCATCTTCTGGTTCCCTTGTAATTCTTTCTTTTCCCTTCTCAACCCATGTCATATTGATCATATTTACAGGGACTTCTGAAAAGGGAACTGCAGGTTTGTCTACCACCAACTCTTCAGGCGGGCTGGTTTTAAGTCTCTTTCCTTCGGGAGGAACCAGGTCTGTTTCTTTTTTGAAGCCTGTGGAAGCTTTCTCCAATCTTTGTAACATTTATAGTAACGTGGTTTGCAAATCTTCTGGCATTTTGACATATATCTTCTGATCCAAAAGGGATCCCACCGGGCGTGCCAAAACTATGTTCGCGTCAGGAATTTCCGTCGGGGATGTTTCCTGGCCAACGAGCACACAGCTCCTCTGGAGGTTGGCGCCGGTTGAGGGCTGCTGTCGGGCTTCTGCTTCGCTATCGGGCTTTGTCGGGCAAGTCTCGTCGGGCAATAATCTTCGGGCAAGGCTGAAAGAGAAGGACATCGTTAACTTTGAGAGGTGCCTTTGTGGGGCCTTAGGTGTAGGCCTTGAGGCTCAAAATCAAGGTTAACTTTTAGGTGCTCAGGCGTGCCACTGCCATCTTCAGCATGGCAGATGTAAAATGGATGTCGAGTTTTAGTTGTATATATGTATATATCCGAGAAACCGTGTTAGTTATAATAGGTGCCTTTGTGGGGCCTTAGGTGTAGCCCTTGAGGCTTCCTATTAATAACTAAACCAGTGCTCGAACACATCATATCTGTTCTCGTAATTGCAAGAGTTTTCTAACTATTATACTTCTGATTACCCGAGTCCAAGAAGTAGAATGAACCCAAATAGGTGCCTTCGTGGGGCCTTAGGTGTAGGCCTTGAGGCTTCCCATCAGAGTTCGTTCTTATACTTAGACTCTCTAGATCGCAGAACGGAATGAATCCAAATGGATGCCTTTGTGGGGCCTTAGGTGTAGGCCTTGAGACTTTCCATCAGAATCCATTCCATGCTCAAGCGTTCTATGGTAATCATAACATAATAGAAATAAAACTAGAGGGTAGGTCGATTACTTGCGCCCCAAGTAACTTCGGACTTCTCGTTTATCAAGGACTGTCATGGATGGGTTAAGTCCACATGAGGTTCTTTTTTATGCCTTGAGGCCAAGGACTTTTAACTGATCATATTTACATGCCCGAGGGCTTAGGACTTGGATCTGGTTTGAACACTGAAGATATATTCAAATCGGATTCAAGTACTGAGAAAGCCTTTTAATAGTCATATTGCTAGAAATAACTTGCATATAACTGGAAATATACAACATATTGAAAAGACAAAAACAAAGCAAAGAAGGTCGAGCAAGGTTAAACCTTATCAGGTAAGGTTGCTCGTCTTGTAGGTTCCTATCTTTGTAGTTTTGTCAAGGGTCTGAAAGCTTAAAGGGATAGAAAGAGATTACAAAAAATGAATCGATACTACAGCAAGGTTGAACAGGGTAGCAGAGCTATTACAAAGGGTTGAAAGGAGGGTTATCCCGCGAGGGATGAAGGCTTGTCCCGAGAGGGATGAAGGCTGACTACAGCTTTGTTTTAAAGGCAAATATGGCTTTGAGCAGAGTTTGTGCTTGCATTTGTTTGTTTGTTTGAGTGTCTTTATTCTTGGTTTCTCTTTCTTCTTATATAGACAACTCGGCTTGGCCTCCTGTAGCAGCAGCCTTGCCCGAATGCGGTTTGAGGGTGATGACTCATCAGCTATTTTACATGTAATGCCACCATAAAGTACTTTATGGGCTGTGTAGCTGGTCAGTCTATACCACTTGGCCCTTGGGTAGGTAAGCAAGTGGTCTTCATGAGCTGCACTAAGTCAGAAAAGGCCCTTTCTGCCTTCTGGGCTTTGACTGGGCTTCAGTTTTCTTCCCTTTCGGGCCTCCTTTTGGGCCAGCTCCTTTCTTGAGCCCAAAGTTCAAGTTTTGATCCATACAACATCATTCTTGGCACCAACAATCTCTTCCCCATTGCCGGAGCCTTCATTGCTGATTCCTTCTTTGGATCTTTCTCTGTCGTCTCCACTTTTTCCTTCATTTCTTTACTGGTAAATAATTACCCATTAATTAACTACTCTGTACTTAAATTAATTTAAACTTGCTCCAGCTACACTCAGTGCTAAATAAAAATGCTTGCACGACCAAAAAAAAAAATTATAGTTTACGTAGTCTATCAATTCATGGTTTTATATAAGTTGGGGGAAATTTTGTGAGTCAAAAGAAGCAAAGAGAAGTGGGAGGAGTGATGCAAGACGCTTTTATATGTAGGAGTGGGAACCAAAGTGAAAAGTTGACACACAAAGTGGAGCGGAAACTCACTGCGTATAATATAATATTGTTATTGATATGTGCGAGTGCGACTATGTTAATGACGAACGAGGATCCTCGCTGGATCCATTTCCCTAGGATACTGCAATTGTGTCCATTCATCGTATATCGTGCGGTCAGTTTTCGTTAGGTACTATTTATATTTGAATTTTAAATTTTAAATTTTAAATGATTTCTGACCGCACGATATATGATGAACGAACACGATTGCAGGATCCATAAGATCTGTAGGGAATGGATCCGGCGAGGATCCTGGTTCGTTAATGACTATTATCATATAAAACTCGCTAGTTCAGGTAGGGAAATTAGTTTCGAGTCCCCCATTTTTTATCTGTACACAAACCTTCCTATATACTAATAGGGGTGTACAATAGGAGAATGACTTTTAAATAACTTTCTTTATGGAGTTATCTATGCACTATTAAATTACTGACTGAGTAACTTTCATCAGGGTTTGATGATGTTAACCATAATAGCTGCAATACCCTCCTTGCGGCCTTCAGCATGTGCAGCAATTGGCTCATCACTTACATGTCAAACTCCATCAAAGTTTCAATACTCAATCCTCTATACAGCACTGTCACTAGCTTCACTAGGACTTGGAGGCACTCGCTTCACAATTGCAACCATGGGAGCTGACCAATTCGACAAGCCCCACGACCAAGGGGTTTTCTTTAACTGGTATTTTCTGGCCTTGTATGTAGCCAACGTCATCAGCTTCACTGCCATCATCTACATCCAGGACAACGTGGGATGGGGATTAGGGTTTGGGATATGTTTCGTCGCAAATGCTATTGGATTACTGGTGTTTTTGTTGGGAAAACGATTTTATAAGCAAGTTAAACCAAAGGGTAGCCCGTTCGTTTGCATAGCACGTGTATTGGTCGCAGCCATTTGGAAGAGGAAAGCATCAGCTGCAACTTCAAGAGACACGGATTATTATTATGGAGATGGAATTTTGGTTGACAACACAGTACCAACTAAAAGTTTCAGGTATGCTTATAATTATGTTACTGTCAAGTATTTTGTCAAAAAATTTTGTTTTGTATTTCTATGTTTGTTCTGACTTAATTTTGTACTTTGGCTAAATTTATTGGTTACTTCATGTAATTGCGTTCTTAATCAACCAACATTGTATAGTTCACAAATTAAGCAATATAAATTTCAACTAGAGATCAATTATTGCTTCTTATTTTGGAAAATTTTTGTTTTTTAAATTATATATGCTATTTTCAATCACTCAAATGTGCGTCTGACATTGAGAAATAATAATACAGAACGATGAAAGTGTACGTGTATGAAAATATTATTTGCATGGGTACATCGTGTCACTATGCATTATAGCACCCTCCTAAATTTCTCTATAACACATGCATGGACACCATTTTTTTCCGTAGATTCTTGAATTGTGCGGCGCTAAAAACCGAAACAGACAAGCAATTTGATGGCTCATATGCAAAATCATGGAAACTGTGCACCGTCAAAGAAGTGGAAGACCTTAAAACCCTAATGAAAATCATGCCACTATGGTCTACTGGCATCTTTCTAAGCACTCCAATTGGTATTACCAGCAGCCTTTTTATACTCCAAGCCCTAACTATGGACAGGCATCTTGGACCACACTTCGCAATCCCTGCCGGTTCATTCCTAGTCTTCAACCTTTTAGCCACAGCCATCTCCATTCTCATAGTAGATCGATTCGTACTATCCAAGTTAACACCCCTCCAAAGGATAGGGATCGGTCATGTGATCAACATTGTTGCGTTGATTGGGTCGGCACTAATTGAAAGAAGACGATTAGGAGTGGTAAAAGCACATAACCTCATGAACCAGCCCGGTTTAGTGGTGCCCATGTCAGCCCTATGGCTTGTGATACCACTATCTGTTGTGGGAATTGGGGAGGCATTCCATTTTCCAGGACAAGTTTCACTGTTCTATGAAGAATTCCCAAAATCACTGAAAAGTACTTCAACAGCTATGATATCTTTGTTGATTGGAATCGGGTATTATCTCAGCACTGCAATCACGGATTTGGTAGACAAGACCACGGGATGGTTACCGAATGATATAAATCAAGGGCGGCTGGACAATGTAGTTTGGATGTTGGCAGTGGTTGGAGTGGTGAATTTTATGTACTATTTGATTTGTGCCAAGTTTTTTATGTATCAAAATCAAATTGTTGGACTCAAAAATTAAAATTGTAATGGGAAATGTCTCAAAATTCTAATAATTGAGAGGTACAAACTTTATTCATTACTTAAAATAATTGTGGGTAAAAACTACAAACTATCAATAAACTTCACTTTATATCATTTCCCTAGCGCAATCAACCACACACTGTTGAAACAACAAATAATTTCACTTGGTAATTGTTTGATTAAAAATTAGAGTGGGACAAGGTGAGAGATGCAAAAGTCAAACGCATGAACTTGAATGCAGAAGCAAGCATGAACATTTACACCCTTAAAAAATGTGTCTGGTACTGTTGGCCTATATAGCAAAACTCCGGCCGATCACCTAGCGTAGCTTTGTGAACAAATGATGACAGACTGATGTAGGAGTGATGATAACTCTCATACCCTTTAACTTGTTTATTTGTTTGTTTAATGGATGGTCATACCTTTTCCTTTTAATATATATCATCACAAAGAGTAATACTAGATAAATTAAATTTGTAAACTCTAATACGGGAGAAATTTTTCAGAATTCCCGGAACTCCAACTCACTTATACCAGCTGGTGTTCCCTACCAATGCGAATTAGACAACTGGATCTTCTTTTTATTTTTTTTTTAATTTTAAACTGAGATGCGGAACCGTCAACAGAAAATCAAAAACAATTTAATGGAGTTATGCTTCCACCGCCGGCCCCATCGAATGAAAACTCAGTGAGAGTAGCTGGGATACACCATTGTCAGAGCATTCTAGTCTTCCAGAGCCGCAATCGCCAAGAGACTTTGCAGACGAAGTCGTGGGAGCAAAGGGTTCGGCCCTAAAGCAGCCGCCCCAGGATGCGGGTGCGGAGATTATTTTCATTTCGACCTTTGCGAGGGCGAAGCCGATGGTCGAAGATGTGAGACATGGGAATTGGAGGGAATGCCCGGCCACACTGTTTATCCCACTTGTTCTCCACCATCATTAGTCGTTACTCATCCTGCAAGCTTTGCTTGCTTGGGTTGGTTCCCATGGAGGGAGAGAGAGAGAGAGAATTGTGTTCACCGTTCACATCTTCTACGTTGGCTCAATTCTATCTTCTCTTTTCCTCTTTTTTAGATGGCAGTTTGAAAGCAATTTGCAGAAGCCCTTGAGAACAATGTTGCCGGCTGCGCCTTCGGGGTTTCGAAGTAAACCTCCGTTAGTTTGTTTTGACGGTTGCACTTCAGCTTTTAAAAATTATTATTAACTAAAAAGTAAATAATAGAATATCCAGTTGTCTATTCGCATTGATAGGGAACACCGGTTGGTATAAGTGAGTTGGAGTTTTGGGACTAATGGAAAATTTAATGAACATGATTATCAACGTTTAAATAATAATTCAACATTAATTTTCATGTCAATTAATTTACAAAATTTTATCTAAAAATTCAATCTCACTAATTTTACTTCACCATGAATATCATGCGCGCATTTATTTCATTTCTTTTGTTTGAATAAGCAGAGTAAGAAAAGCGTGATCAATTTCTGCTAACCACCCTAAACCCTAATTTCGTGGCTTTACTTAACTATATAATACCTTCCCCACTAAACGTATCATCTATCGGAACAATTCATTTATTTTATTATCATTTAAAGTTTGTTTTAAATATTTTATTCAATTTGAGATCTTTTACTCATTTACATGAATCAAAGAAAGTAACGGTTTATTATGAATGTACTACTTATTATCATATCCGCGCGCCAATTTGTGCAATACATGTGGACAATTAAACAGGAATTAATTCCAAAAATGATATGTAATAGTGATGATAAAAATAATGAATATTTCCGATGGAATGTATGCAATCAACAATTACAACAAAAAAATATATATCGAAAATGAGGGAGTATTGTCGGTGTAGGGGTGTTTTTTCGTTAGCAGCACGTGTAATGGTCGCATCCGTTTGGAAAAGGAAAGACATATATTATTATTAAGGAGATGGAATTTTCGTTTTTTTTTTTTTATAACGAAATGATAGTAGTTTTATTAGAATATTAAAAACTCATACAAATAATATTAGATATGATATTCAATATAACATCTAAGAGGTCCTTAGATTTTAGTTGTTACCCAAACACATACGACAGAGATGGCCCTCCAAAGCTAAAGGACTCCATTTCTATTGAAAATGTCAAGTACTTTGCAAATTACCAGCTCCGAAGTGGAAATGACAACGAACTAACTAGCTAGTTTAAGGTATAGTGTGGATACCAACATGAAATTTGTGCCACCTAAAAGTACCAACTTAAAGTTTTAGGTATCCATATGTTAATAATAATATGGAGTAGGATTCTCTCCCCTTTAAATCTCCTCCCCTTCCCTTCCGTCCTCTGTCACTTTCCTCTTTGTCTTTCTCTCTATATAAAAAAGTCAACACAAAATGTTGACATGGCTTATCATAACCATTCAAATAGAAGAAGAGTTTAAAGGGAAGAGAATACTACGCAAGTTAATGTATAGGGGTTTATGTATGTCAATTAATTATATCAATTAATTTTTGTTTTGTTTTTCTATGTTAGTTGAATTTTGATTTAATTTTTACTTTGACTAAAACCAACTTAAAATCAATGAACCATTAGAAAACTCATTTTTTTTGTTTTGCTTAATCAAGTTGTCAAATATTTTAAGCATTTGAATATAAACTAGTATAATCTTATGGTTAATATGTATTTGGTCCTGACTGATCCTCAAAATAAAAACCTTAGGAGAGCATGACTCTTCAAGGATAACAACAATATAGGAGAATGAATGAAATTAAGACAGAGTGTTTTCCATACAAATAATTTCAATCTTATTTCCTTATAATATTGTTGAAGGTTTGCATGGGTTTTTTTGGAAGGGTTTTTTTGGTCTTTCCAAAGATATATAGAAGAAATTAAAAGAGTTGAATGAATAAAAGATAAGTTTTTTTCGTAACAAACAAATTAAGGAAACAGTAAATGACAATAACTCACTTATGATGAATTTGTGAACATTTAACAAAATATTAGGCATGGATGAATTAAGTAAAATGCATTTAATTGGTGTGTGCATATGTACACATATTTACACTGCAGACATATATACAATTATTTCATACGATGAATTTGGCCAAAAGTAAATCAAGCACGAGTTCGTTAATTCACATATGACTAACCAAAATGGCTTATTTGTGTATAGTGCTCAATTGCTAATCAGTTAATAAATTAATATACTACTAATTATTTATTTTACCAATTCCATAATGTTATCCCCTGATCTGAAACTTTTGAATTTTATTTAAATCATAATTTGAAGATCATTTATTAAACAAAATTTAAAAAACAATTCGTAGACATATAATTATATAATCAAATAATGAAAAAAATTTCATATGGGGTGAACCAATTTATGATTTAAAAATGAATATTTTTACTTTTTGTTGGAAACGATAGAGGAGGATCTGGTCCGGATCTCTCCCATCAAAGGCCCAAGATCAAGTGATCCGGACCGTTGAATTTTAATCTAACGACTACAATTATTATCACTTTAGAGGACACTTTAGAGGGCCTCATGTTTGTAGTCATTGGATCAAAATTCAACGGTCCAGATCACTTGATTCTGAGCCTTTGATGGGAGAGATCCGGACTGGATCCTCTTCCGGAAATGATAGCTATTCAAAATGAAAAGCATCATAACATCAATGCAATGGATCATCAATACGGTGGATGATCGAAATATTTCATCCAAAACCTAAACATAACCACCATGAAGGAAAGCTTCATCCTAAGAAATAAGCCTTCATGGAGAATAAATTAAAATAAAATAAAAATGAGAAAATGCACACGTTTCTTCAATAATTAAAATTGTAATGAAAATGTCTCAAAATTCTAATAATTGAGAAGTACAAATATTATTGAGTACTTAAGAAATAACTATACACACTCACTTCATATTGTTTACCCCACGCTCCGCTTTAGGCCCAAAAAAAAACTCTTCCGAAGCCGAAACCAATTAAACTTGATGAGTTGGTGCAACAGTCCTTGGTGAACTTGGTTCTCCGGGTGTTGGTTTACGCACGTATTTTCTTGCCCAAACATGTTTGCCATTAATGGAGAATTTGGCTTTACTTTTTCCATTAAGAACAACTGGAATGGAGGAAGCAGAACGAACCACAAGGCGGGCATACAAGGGTTGATCGTCACCCGTCACTTCTTGCATAAACACAGATTCGATAAAGTCCCCAAATTTCCTGTCCACCAAAAAAAATTAATAAAATAGAACAAATCCAATTTTAATTTATAATTATACACGAAACCTAAGTAATTATATGTCAAAAATAAAGTCATACCTACTGAAGTACTCTTTGACTTCATTTTCTGAAATGGGATAGCCTTTAGAAAATGTCAAGAAAATAGTCCTTTCTTCAGCAGACACTTCTTCCGCTTCCCCGCGGTAACCGCCGCCATTCAAACTCAAATTGTTCAACATATCACTCATTTCATTGTTCAAAATATGGCGCTGAACAGCGAGATCATAAGGATCAAAAACACCCCGCAAGTAGTCTAGAGAGGCGTCACTCCTCATTACGGCACGAGTGAGGAGATTAATATGTTGAGGCCCCATCAATTGTTGATGATGATCATTGACAACCCCATGCATTCTTTGATTAGGAACAAAAGATCTCATGTTTGATCCACTAGCAACATCATAGGGCACATCATTATGCATTAGAGGATTGTGCAAAGGATTAACATGGTACTGGGGCATCACAATATTTTGATCTCCAATCAAGGCAGAGTTTAGTAATATTTCTTGAGCGTTGTTTGGGTGACGCTTCGGGAGCAAGTCATCAAACGCTCGCATGCAAACCTCATTCAACAATTTGGTGACACCCCGAATGATTCCTAGGCGGTTTTGATGGAAATATTTGAGAGTGACGTCGCTATTGGTTAGAGCGTTGAGTAGGGGAATATCATGGTTACTGAAGTCGGGGTAGAAGTTGTCATTTTGTACGCAGTTTAGAGCCACCACAGACTCCTC